ACCATGTCTGTGCCAATCATGATACCAATCCAAACTAATCCCTTTTGTCTGCACATGGTACATATCCCTCTATTCCCTACCTGTTCATATGTCTGACTAAATACCTCTTATATGTTGCTCTTGTATCTGCTTCTACCACCTTCCCTGGCAGCACATTCCAGGCACCTACCACCCTCTGTGTAAAAAAAACTTGTCAGGCATATCTCCTTTAAACTCCTTCTTCACTGTCCACTACACCACCAGTTTTGGTGTCCTCTGTAAACTTAGTAATCATACCTTCTATATTCACATACAAATTATTTACATAAATGACAAAGAGCAATGGATCCATCACTGATCCCTGCAGCACACTGCTGGACGCAGGCCTACAGTCCAAAAAGCAAACCTCTACCACCACCCTCTGTCTCCTACCTTCAAGCCAAGCTTGTAGCCAATTGGATAGCCCCCCCTGGATTCCATGTGATCTAACCTTGGTAACCAGTCTACCATGCGGAACCTTGTTGAACACTTTGCTAAAGTCCATACAGACAACATCCACCACTCTGTCTTCATCAAACTTCTTGTTACTTCTTCAAAAAAACTCAACCAAGTTACTGAGACACAGAAAACCACATTGACTATCCCTAATCCATCCTTGCCTTTCCAAATGCTTGTAAATTTCGTCCCTCAGAATCCCCTCTAACAACTTATCCACCAGTGATGTCATGCTCATCGGTCTATAGTTCCCTGGCTTCTCCTTACCACCTTCCTTACATAATGGCACCACATTAGCCAATCTCCAGTCTTCTGGCACCTCACCCAGGGCTATCGTTGATACAAATATCTTAGCAAGGGGCCTGACAATCTCTTCCCTACCTACCTGCAATGTTCTGGAATACACCTGATCAAATCCTGGAGATTTATCCAAAGTTAAGTGTTTTAAGATGTCCAGCACCTCTTCTTCTGTAATATGGACACTTTTCAAGAAATTATGATTTATTTCCCCAAGTTCTCTAGCTTCTATGTCTTTCTTCACAGTAAACACTGACATGAATTACTTGGTTAGTATCTCACCCATCTCCTCTGGTTCCACACTTAGACAGCCTTGTTGATCTTTAAGGGGACCTCTTCTCTCCTAGTTACCATTTTGCCCTTAAGGTATTTTTAGGATTTCTTTGGATTTTCCTTAACCTTATTTGCCAAAGCTATCTCATGTCCCCTTCTGCCCTCCTGATTTCCCTCTTAAATATATCCCTATTGCCTTTATACTCTCTATGGATTCACTTGATCCCAGCTGTCTATACTTGACATATGCCTCCTTTTTTTTGGACCAGAGTCTTAATTTCTCTCGTCATCCAGCATTCCTTACACCTAACAGCCTTGCCCTTCACACTAACAGGAACATACTATATCTGAAATTTTGTTAATGATCTGTGAGCAGTGCAAGGCTATGGGTATATTAGTAGTTGTTGATCAGTGATCAGTGCAGGGCCATGATGATATGAACAGTACTTCTTGGTCTCTGATCAATGCAGAACCATGAAGGTATCAGCAGTAGTATTTGATCAGAGATCAGGACAGGGTGATGGGAGAGGGCAGCAGTTATTGATCTGTAACCAGTGCAGGACCAAACGGTTATTAGTAATAATTGATCTGTGACCAATGCAGGGCCATGGGGTTATGAGTAGTTATTGATCAATGACCAGTGCTGAGTCATGGTGGTTTAGTAGTTTTTAGAGGTCGCTGTGCACATTGGTACCAACGACATAGGTAGAAAGAGTGATGAGGTCCTGCGGAGCTCGTACAGGGAGTAAGGAAAGCAGCTGAAAAGCAGAGCCTCAAGGGTAGTTATGTATAGGATACTACCAGTGCCACATGCTAGTGAGGCAAGGAATAGAAAGAAAAGACAGATGAATGATTTGCTAGAGCGCTCATGCAGGGGGCAGGGTTTCAGGTTCTTGGATCTTTGGGACCTGTTCCGGGGCAGGGGTGACCTGTGCAAGAGGGTCGGGTTGCAGTTCAACTGGAGGGAATCAATATCCTCGCAGGGAGGTCCACTAATGGTACTCAGGAGGGTTTAAACTAGATTGGGAGAAGGCTGAGAACCAGAGCAGCAGGTCAGCAAGTGGAGGGATTGAGGAGAACATAGATGTCAGACCAGTAAATCAGAAAGGAAGGACAGGCAGAGACAGGTAAATGAACACAATGGTACTAATGAGCTGAAGTGCGTTTATTTCAATGCAAGGAGTATTACAGGTAAGGCAGATGAGCTCAGAGCCTGGATCAGTACGTGGGACTATGATGTTGTGGCCATTACACAGACTTGGTTGAGAGAACACAGGACTGGCTGCTCAACGCTCCAGGGTTTCGTTGTCTTAGATGAGATAGAAAGTAAAGTAAAAGAGGCGGAGGAGTTGCATTTCTAATCAGGGAGAACGTCACATCTGCACTCCGAGACGATATACTGAAGGGCTCATCCACTGAGGCAATATGGGTAGAGCTCAAAAATAAGATGGATGCAAGCACTCTGATAGAATTATACTATAGGCCTTCTAATAGCCACCGAGACATTGAGGAACAAATATGGAGTCAGATTATGGAAAGATGCAATAAAAACAGAGTCATAGTGGGTGACTTTAATTTCCCCAATATTGACTGGGACTCCCTTACAGCAAGAGGCTCAGACGGGGCAGAATTTGTTAAGTACATCCAATAGGGTTTCTTGAAACATTATGTGGACGGTTCAACTGGAGGAGGGGCCATACTGAACCTTTCATTGGCTAATGAGTCTGGCCAGGTGACTGATCTTTCAGTGGGAGAGCATTTTCGAAACAGTGATCACAACTCCTTAAGTTTTAAAATAGCTATGAATGAGGATAAGTGAGGACCTTGCGGGAAGGTACTAAATTGAGGGAGGGCAAATTATGTCAGTATTAGGCAGGGAGTGTTAATTGGAGGATCTGTTACTAGGCAAGTCCACATTTGACATGAGAGAATTGTTTAAAGATCTGCTTATGAAAGTTCAGGACTGGCATGTTCTGGTGAGGAAGAAGGACAAGGATGGCAAGGTAAGGGAACCTCTGGATAATGAAGGTTAATGATAACGGTATGTTGTGAATTTAGGCAAAAGGAAAAAAGAAACATATGTAAGGGTTAGGAAGCTAAAATCAGAAAGGCCCATGAGGAATAGAAAGAAAGCAGGAAAGTATTCAAGCAGGGAACTAGGAGAGCAACAAGGGGCCACGAAACGATGTCGACAAGTAGGTTGAAAGGGAATCCCAAGACATTCCATACATACATTAAAAACAAGAGGATAACAAGGGAGAAGGTAGGACCACTCAAGGATAAAACAGGGTACTTGTGCTTGGAGGCAGAGGATATGGCAAGATCCTAAATGAGTACCTTGTGTCAGTATTCACCCAGGAGAAGAATATGGAGTATAGCGAGATTTGTGTGGAGCATGCTAATATGCTAGGGCATTTTGAAATGAAGAAAGAAGTGGTATTAGGTCTCTTGAAGAGCATTAAGGTGGATACATCCCCAAAGCCAGATGGCATCTACTCCAAGTTATTGAGAGAGGCAAGAGAGGAGATTGCTGGGACCTTGACTAATATCTTTGTGTCCTCGCTAGCTACTGGAAAGGTACTGGAGGACTGGCGGGGAGCTAATCCAGGAAACTATAGACCGGTGAGCCTCACGTTGTTGGTTGGGAAGCTATTGGACAGAATTCTTAGGGATAGGATTTAGATGCATTTGGAAATGCATGGCTTAATTAGGGAAGGTAAGCATGGCTTTGTGCCAGGCAAGTCAAGCCTTACTAACTTGATTGAATTTTTCGAGGAGGTGGCAAAGGTGATCAATGAGGATAGAGCAGTGGATGTTGTCTACATGGATTTTAGTAAGGTTTTCGAAAAGGTCCCTCATGGTAGGCTCATCCAGAAGATTAAGATGCATGGGATCCACAGTGACTTGGCCATGTGGATTCAGAATTGGCTTGTCCATAGAAAGCAAAGGGTAGTGGTAGAGGGGTGTTTTTCTGGCTGGAGGTCAGTGAATAGTAGTATTCCTCAAGGATGCATACTGGGACCTCTGCTGTTTCTGATATATGTAAATGACTTGGATGAAAATGTAGATGGATGGCTTAGTAAGCTTAGTTCGCCTAGTAAGACAATACAAAGATCGGTGTGGAGGTGTGGATAGTGTAGAAGGTTATCAAAGGATACAGCGAGATATAGATCAGTTGCAGATATGGGCAGAGAAATGGAAGATGGAGTTTAATCTGGGTAAGTGTGAGGTGCTGCACTTTGGGAGATCAAATGTTAAGGAAGAGTATAAATTAATGGCAGGACTCTGAATAGCATTGATGTACAGAGGAATTTGAGGGTTCAAGTTCAAGATGCGTGTCTGGAATGCTGTGCCAGCGGTGGTGGGGGAGGCAGATACAATAGGGGCATTTAAGGGACTTTTAGAGAAGCACGTCAATATGCAAGGAATGGAGGGATATTGGCCAAGGGCAGGCAGAAGGGCTCAGTTTAAATTGGCAACACGTTCGGCACAACATCATAGAGACAAGGGCCCATTCCACTGCTGTACACTCCTATATTCTGATCAGTGACCAGTGCAGGGTTATGGGGGTATTAGTATTCACTGATCAGTAACCAGTGCAGGGTCATGGGGGTATCAGTCAATACTGATCAGTGACCAGTGTAGGGTTATGGGGGGAGTAGTTATTATTGATCAGTGACCATTGTAGGGTCATGGGGGTAGTAGTTATCACTGATCAGTGACCAGTGCAGGGTCATGGTGGTATTAGTCATCAATGATCAGTAGCCAGTGTAGGGTCATTGGGGTAGTAGTTATTACTGATCAGTGACCAGTGTAGGGACATGGGGGTAGTAGTTAT